AGGTATACAGGTATTTTATCTATTTTTTATTACCTTCCAAGCAGCTAGAAAACTAATGTAAAATTCACACTAGATTTATTATCTAAAAAAATAGGCAATTTTTGTGGTACTTAACAAGGAACATAAAGTGAACTGCAAGTAGCTTCAAAGCATATAAAATAGTTTAGTAACTGTATACCTACTTTTAGGCCATCACCTACTTTTGGGCCACCCTGTACATTTATGAAACATATGGTATTTGAGATTTTTGTCATTATTTGAAAGCATGGTTCATTGGGGCACAAGTTATAAATCCTTGTCATGACGTCACATCTTGAATATGGCGTCATTGTGGGGTGTCTATTTCAAGTGAATGGTTACTCTTTTACAGTATCCAAAATACGCCTTGTCTCCTGCTTTCAAATTTGCGTAATTTAGGGGTTGATTTGGGAAGCACAGTTGTAAACGCAATTTGATTTTGAAACAGATGCAAAAGAGCGAGTGTTGTTAAAGTAAGGTTGGTTTATGCCATCTAGGCCCCCGTAGCCTCAAAACATTTAATAAGACTCCCAACAACTCAAAATTCGGGCGCTCAAGACGTATGCGTACCAATGTGGAGGTAACTAATTTTGTTCGCCTATTTTACAACAAGTTGTGTGAAGGGACTGAAACCTATGGGCATAGGTATATTCACTTACACAGACATTGCCCTGGTGCTCAAGTAATAACAGTTTTGCCAACTAAACACTTTGCACTTCTGAGTTAGTTTTAGTTCAGCAAAGAGGGCTTAAAATTCCGTTTCCCGGAATTGCTTGAAACATTCCCGTGATACTCATCTCACAAGCAAATAGGAAAACCCCCGAGAGCTCCATTATATTTTGCTATTATGATTGAACCAACTGGAAGCTCGCCCATACTTTAAATAAACTGATATCAGTACTTTCATAGAAAAAAACTCGTTATCTAAGAGTCATTTGAACGAGGTAAATAGCTTACACTTATAAAGTTCCCTTATTTTCAACTCATTATCAAAACCTAGTGGCAAAAATTTGAATTGTTGATAAGGTTGCTCTCTAGCGACATGCCGCGATTGTTGTCCACTCATAATTTATTTTGTAGTAGATAGTTTAATGGAAGTATCAAAAGCCCCAAAATTGCCAGTTTTTGCTGTCACACAAGTCTGGGTACTCCCGTAGTGTGTGTAACAGGTTAAGGTTAGGCCATAATATTATTCTGATTTATCTTATTTCAATTCTATTACGAGTTATTACGACTATCTGTGTTAGACAAGTGGATATACCCCCCACCCGCAGACTTCAGTCTCTTCCCACAACTTGATGTGAAATAGGCGAACAAAATTAGTTACCTCCATATTGTTACACACACTTCTGGAGCGCCCAGTACCCGAGTTATGCATAGATAATTGGGGAAAGTATCAGTCAATAATTTAAACTTTCCACAGTTCCAAGTCAAAGACTTTTATACTCGATTGACTCGTAAACAGTTCCAATTACCAAAGTTTTGTTATTTTGGCTTTATCAATACAGAATTTGAAGAAAATTTCAGCCGACGCAGCAGCGAATAAATACACATGTAGTCCAGTGTTTGTTAACTTTAATGACCCTTTCTTTCCAAAGACTATCTGTACCTAGGACCAAGGGCATGTCGAGGGTGGGGACATGGGGCAAGCCGCTCTACCAGCACGTTACTAGGGTAAATTTGTTGCATAATATGATGATTTAATTAATGATAATACAAACATTTCTTTCTTACTCAACCTTTATTTCGTGTATTCTCGTGTATAACAACGTCCATATTATATAATTTGTTTATCCCCCAAATCATTTTTGAAGTTAGGTATAAGGGGCAGCATTATCAGAAACTCGCTTCAGTCGGTGCAAAGTTTGATGCGGCCGTGACGTCATGCTCTTCAATAAAAAGAAATCGTTTTTGTGCGTTTCGTCAGCTACTTCATGCGCTAGGTTCAATAATAAAGAAACCTTTAAAGGAAGCCTGAAAATAAATACATTACGGTCAGATAATAAAACAAATTGCTGTCAGTTTACTTTGAAAAATAAATGTCATCGCGAATGGTACGTAGTGAAAAAACATTGATCATGTCTGCAGAGAACCAGGTCGTGCCTTGGGACGCAGTTTAAACAACCGTAACATATCGTAAATAAAAATAGTATACAATGTGTTGAAACTGCACTAAAAATGAGATATAAAAATATCCGCGAAAATCGCAAGTACATTAAAATTCGTTAAAAATCGTATTGTTCTATTTTGCAGCAGAATTCGAAATTGGTTTTTTATTGAGTTCAACGTCGAAACCGAATTTACTAGTCAAATTTAGGTATTTGGAGCAATTCTATCTTATGCGTACCAAAAAATAAACATAATGAATAATATCAAAATTTCTCTCTATTTAACCATGCTAAAACGCTTAAACGCAGTTCGATTGGTTTTTCTTTGACCATCGAGAGAAAAGATAAAATGCTTTTAACGGTCGCGAGGCGATATCGAAATTCTATTTTAAAGTCCAGAAATTTAATATCTTAATATTAATGTAAATGGGAGCGATAAAATCTTAAACAATGTACCAGGGTGAAAGTGCGTTTGCATGATAATCTGGTTGGAAACATATCAAGAATGTAAACAGGATTAGAGAGTGAATTTGCTTGATTTTAGATAAATGATTTTTAAAGTACGCAATTTAAAGGAGTTTATGATAAAATAGGTTGTTCGCGTCTATTCTTATTCGCTTATGGTCAGTATTTTTTGATCAGTGAATATATTACCCATATTATAATGGTACTAATTTATCCAAATAAACGGTGGCCGGTGAAGAAAAAAACAGAAAATTTTGTCAGTCCCTAAGTCGGATTTTCACTTTTGAGAAGAATTATTATTTATCTTTCAAAGTCTGAAACCTGTTTCCCGTCTATTTGCATGATGTAGGTATCAAAATAGAACGAACCTAAAAGGAATCAGCCTAAAACAACCTAGAACCTAAAAGACAAAAATAAAATAACGTATCAAAAATAAAATGAGAAAGCTAGCATTTTATCCGTAATCTCATCTGATCTTCAAATTTACTGCTTTTCTATCGAACACCCTGTAAGTTTATGAGATTTTGTCTATGAATGATTATTATAGTTTGTAAATATATGATTATTGTTGGTGGCGAGAGTGTAATGGTGACAATTGCCAGGTCGCTAAAACTGTCGAATAGTAAATTGTCAATTTGCCAAACTCAACTATATAGAAAACAAACATATTTTAATTAAAACCATGAATGAATTAGTTTTCCGAGGAAGCCTATAGCATTAATCCGATAAAATTTTGCAGAAAATATATAGGGTGTCAATAGAGTTTCAAAGTTATTTAGGAATTCATTGATATCACATATTGTTTTGGCTCTAACATATGTATTAAATGAAATAAAAATACTTGAACAATTACTGATTAAAATACAACATGGTTAAGATATATTGAGAACTGACTCCATAACAATATTAAAATTGTGAAAGGACTTTAAGGACACCCTGTATATGTGTCAGTATGCAACAAGACTTTTTATGGACATTTCGCTCAAAGCAAGGTCGCGTGCATTCACTAAGAAATGGAGAATCTTGATCTCTGAGCGAAGTTACGGGTGAACACTAAAATGCCAAGACCATCCGAGGCTATAAAAAATAATGGCGTTCCGGAAGTGTGTGTACCAATATGTAGGTAACTAATTATGCTGCCTTATTTTGTCAAGTTGTGTAAAGGGACTGGAACCTATGGCAGGGGGATATTCACTTGGCTAGCACAGACAATCCCCGAACTCGTAATAGAACTAAAATAGGGAAAACCGGAATAAAATCATGTCCTAACCCTAACTTGGTACACATACTACGGGAGTACCAAAATAATAGCGCCAGTAAATGTCAATTACGCAAACTACTTCATGCCAATTATAAGATATCAGAAAACAGTTATAAAAGTTCCACATATCTGGAATCACTTGGAACTTTTATTGATATACAGGGTGTCCATAGAGTCCCCTTACAAATTCAATTTTGTTATGAAGTCAGTTCTCAATATATCTTAACCAGGTTTGTTGTTTTTTAATCAGTAATTGTTTATGTATTTTTACTTCATTTAAAAAATCAGTGAGGGCCAAAACAATAAATTCCCTTTGCAATTTAAAATAAATTTAAAACTTTATGGACACCCTATATTTGCAGAATATGACGAGGCACGAAAGAGCAAAAATATAATCGGATTTGCGCAACATATGACTCTGTATGTATAAGTAACTCATTATCTATAACAACACACCGTGTACAGCAGGGCTTTCCAAACTTTTAATCTCGCAACCTCTTCCAATATATTGAAAAATTTGACCCATGTTAAGTCGGCATTGTTATGCAAGCGCGTCGCTTCTCTGATCATATGTATTCTTTCGAAGTCGTGAGATTATGCTTCGCATTGATTTTAATAATTGTGTTTCGAATCAGAAATCTGAAAAAGTACAATTTTGTGGGACATTGGTGTACTTTTCGCGACCACTAAAATTCGTTTCGATCCGTTGCTGATCTATAACTTTGCATGAAAGAACAGCGCAAACCATTTTTATTTTCGCCTTGCACTATTTTTGTGGTTTTTTATCATCACATTGTCACTCAAATATGACACTCGATGCGGTTAATCAAAAAGCTAATCTAAAAATCCATTTATATGGTAACACGATCCTCTTGTTACAACTATTTCAGCTTTGAAAATATAATTTAGGATGATATAAATTTTGAGGTTCATTAAATGAGATGTTATCAAAAAAATGAATAAATAAACTCGAAACTGCAAGTGATAACATCGAAATATATTCCCGTCGGAGATATATCGTTATGCACGAAAGTGCATGTTATTTTCTTGTTATTGAAAAATAGTAAAAGTATAAAAGACACGTCTCGCTTGTAATTGAATTGGTTTTCAACAAACAGCGCTGGGTTACGAAGTGTTTTGGACACAAAATGGCGAAAATATTCGAGATTCTGCTTGTGGTAAATATGGTGATCTTGGGCTTCGTTTGTAGAAGTGAAGCAGGAACTGCGCAAGGTAAGCGTCTCTCAGCTAATCAAGTCTTGTTTTGTGTCAATGACTCTTTCATTCTAATCATAGCATGTTAAAACAAATACAACACAGAAGGCCAATTAACAGTTGTCACAACTTGGCAGAAATTTCTTCGTAAATCCCCTAGATACTTACATACTGAAATACTCACTTGTTGCTGTCATTTTACGCCCTATTGGTTATTTTTAAAGTCCCAGTCGAAGATGAAATCTGCAAGGCTTTGAAGAATATCGCAGTCAATGTTGTTAAACTTATTGGAGAAGGAAAACTAGAAGAGGCGAAAAATGAGCTTGATACTAAAATCGGTGAAATGAAGGTAAGGTATAAAACAGTATTGAGAATGTTAGGTATTCCATTTGATTCAAGAGGCTTGCTGCACACTAACTAGAGCTAAGATCTGAATCCCGAGCCCGGGCCGGATCGGGCCTGAAATGTCAATCATTATGTTCCGGTCGAGTCGGGCTTCTCTATCGCTGACTTTCCTTTTAAGTGAGGCGTTTCGGCCACGAAAGACCGTGGTCTGCAAAATTCAGAAGTTTCCATATCAACACGTCACATACTGTACTAAACTCTTGCTATGCCGATTCAATGAACTCATAAATAAATTATGAAATTTCGGATTTGTTTCGGGCTCGGGCATGCAAATACAGTTTATTCGTCGGGCTCGGGTCTGGTCATGTTTAATACCTACGAGCCTGGGTCGGACCGGGCTGCAATTTCTGGTTCCAATTTCACTTCTAACACTAACACAAATGTATTTCTGTAACGTTTCGTCTGCACAACATCCTTGCGTTACACTAATACGGATCCACTCCCATAAAGACATAAGTCAAGGAAAAGCGGGTTGTTAACATTTTCATGTCTTTATGTAATCGAGCGCTCGGTCAAGTAATATTAAACTGTCATTACACGAAAATCGAATATAGACGACAATCGACTTTGAAAACCCTTTGAAGCCCTTCCTTTGTAAAAAAGATGGAGTCATATTCTCTTCAATTTTATTTTTGGTACACCTGAAGTGTGTAAACCAAGATGGCGGACACCGGAACGTAGTATATGTACCAGGTTAGGCCATAACTTCAGGTACAAATACTACGGGAGTCACTTGGCCAGTCCCTGAACTCGTAATAGAGCTAAAATAAGATAAATTGGAATAAAATTATGACCTAAACCTAACCTAGCACACATACTACGTTCCGGTGTCCGCTATCTTGGTTCACATACTTCGAGACTGCCAATTTTTGTTTCACCCTGCGTATTGAGCTCTACTTAGAACTGCAATTTCGTGTTTACAGGATTCTGGCGATTTGGCAAAGATCAAACAAAAACTTGAAAAAATGATGGGTGAGGGGATTGCCACAGAAAAATACGTTATACTGACTTATATTGAAGGAAAACTTTGCCCCAGCGAAGCCGGCAGAGCCATAAGATCGATTCAAACCTGGGCACCGAAAGATAAGAAGAATTGGGTGAAATTTGTCGAGATTATGATAAAATGCCTCGGAGACGATTTGTAGCTTTGTAGTGTATCTTTGAAGGAGCTATAATGAGGCGTTTGTTTTGTATATACTCATATTGGTGTTAATCATTAAAAATTGAATTTTTCTTAGCCATTTTATGTTTATTTTAGACGTATAGGGCCATCCGTAACTTTGGGTGAAGTATTCTCAAAGGCAATATAATAAAGTGTTTTGCCGTGTAAATACTCTTATCCTATTTGAGTTCAAGTCATTATAAATCAACTTTTAAGATCGCCATTTTATTTCAATTTCTGACACATTTAGGAGTTAAAAAAACGCGTATTCTTGATTTTCAATTTCAATTTATTTATTTTCGTGGCTTTCGGGGTTTTTATATGATGGTAACTTGGTAACGATCAAGGGTGAGAAATTGAATGAAAGGTTTTCGAATACGAAAACGAAAAAATGATTCCAGTTTACTGTCTAACAAACGGAGCCCAATTTTGTGTTGTAGGTGAATCCGGCGCTTCAGAAGTGTGTGTACTAATATAGAGATATAGATAACTATTTTTGTTCGTCTACTTTACATCAAGGGACTGAAGCATGTGGGTAAGGGGTATATTCACTTGGCTAACACAGACAGTTTCTGAACTCGTAATAAAACCAAAAGAAGGAAAACGGAATAAAATTATGGCCTAACCCCAATCTGATACACACACCACGGGACTACCGAAAATTCATTCGACAGGAGTTTTTTTTTTTTTAATTTCAATTGGATGTGAAAAACTTTAAATCCGACCAGCGAACCCGAGAATTCAAAACTACGACTCTAAACTTTTTCAGAAGTAGAAGAATCAGTAAAATCCCATATTATAATGATTCTAATCTATCATTTCGTTTATGCGATTTTGTGCATGCATGATTGTTGCTTGTATATTTATGATGAAATAAATACTAGGTTGGTGAAGAGAGCGTAATGTTGACCAAACGGCAGTTTTCTAAAATGTTGAATAGTCCAGGACTCCAGAATATTCTTGCATCCTACTATACTCAGCATATTCAGGCGATAATTTTAATGTTTCCGCTTTAAAAACCGATACAACGACAAATTTGTGTCAATTATAAAACAAACAGAAGTTCAGGTGTGAAATAATAGAAGTAATTAAAGAAATTTTTTGATGCCGTATTTTTGCTGGTCACTACGCATATGTATCTTTGACAGACGTTGCTGTGGTGCTGTACTGACTCTGGAAATTATCAACAAGTGCCGTCTATTTCGGCGCCCTATGCGAAGCAATAGACTGGCCCGTATTCTGGGTTGGAATAAGGATACAACCCCTAAAAATTAAGATTTTGCAATATCAATTCGTCTTCTGCTTTGTATTTGTATTTGTGTAACAAAATCACGATGAGGTGACATTAGCTTACGATGCAAGCAGATTATAATTTATAATGTTCAATTTGATAGGTTACACCAAGAATTTTTCGGGGCCGATGAAAGCTCGGGGCTTACTGTGGTCGTGGCTGTGATGCGTTACTTTGAAATCTCTCTGTTTTGAAATATTTTATCCTTAGTTTCTGTATGCCCAAAATATTTGCGCTTACGCGTTGAAAATGTTGGAAACGCCCCTACCCCACCCCCTTGCTATGAGACAAAGCCGTTCTTGAGTATTAACACTAGGGTCGACCTAATTGCCGTCACAAGGCATGTTTGTAAACAAAAGTTAGAGTATTAACTGCGTTATCCGCTCTGCGTTGTATTGCATAGAAGCATAAGATGCCGAGGATTTAGCATTAAGTCATGGCGCATTAATAAGAGCAGAGAGTGATTTGACTTCACAATAAACATAGAATCAGTAGCGAAATAAAATATTGGTGAAGTTAAAGAGCATCATGTGTCAAAGTATGGCGGCCTGTGTTCTAAGATTTTCAATAATGTTTGGTGAGTAATGTCTTGAAATTTTTGTTTTGTTTGAAAGACAGCGTCTTCGCCTAACTTGGTAAAATTTAGCCTACTTCCCTCGATTATCAAAACGGCTTGACCAATCGACATTGATATTTCAGTGTTGAGAGAATATTTCATGAGTGTTACGCACAATAGTACAATACTAAAAGCGGGTCGGTCCAATAGGTACACGCAAGGTCGGATCTAGAGGGGCCCATAGGGAAGCCGCCTTGGGCAGTACGTTATAGGGGTGAGTTTGTTGCTTCTTTTGATGATTTATATAATATTAATACAAATAGCACTCTTACTTGATCATTAATTTATTTATTCTCACGTATAACAACTATAATTTGTTTATCCCCGCAAATTATTAAGTTAAGTACGTGTAAGGGGCGTCATTATCAGAAACTAGCCCTGCGCAGCAGAGAAGTTTGACACGCCCTTGGGTACACGTGAATGAAAAAGCTTAACTTTTACTATTTCTTGTCTCATGCGTCATAGCGGATTCTCGTCATGGAATTCAGACTTTGCAGTTTCTGAGACCATGTTAATTACCGCCAATATAGTTCGATATTTATCCCAAAATAGACGTTTTGAAATTTGTCCCACGGGAGAAGAAAGCCTGGAGAACGTGTAGGAAAACCACGTACTCTCGTCCACTACCAGCCTCGCTTGAACAAAATGACCGCTCCAATGCATTAACCCAGAGAAGGATTCGTACTAGACTTCAGATTATTGTTATGATGGCGTGTATATTCCGCGGGCACACTTTTATATGGCATTCGTCTGCAAATACTTTAACAACATTTACAGGGTGACCCTCCTCCCCCCACCTCATAAAAAGGGGGGGGGTAGAATGGAACTCATACAATATGTTCCAAATGGAACTGGTTTCGTGTCTTTAGTCACCCCGTTTTTTCAGTATCCACTAACACTAATTCATATTACGCAAAGTAACCGCTAGATGTCGACAATGAGTGGAAGTTCATTTCAAATATTTTTGACGATTTGGCCGCGTTTCGTTACGAATGAATAAACACAGGAAACGCAAAAATGTTGGTTTACCTCATTACAATTATTGACACTCACATAGTATGTGTACCAGGTTAGGGTTAGGCCATCAATTCATTCCGATTTTCCGTATTTCAGTTGTATTACGAGTTAGGGGACTGTTTGTGTTAGCCAAGTGAATATACCCCCTGTCCATACGCTTCCTTCCTTCACACGACTTGATGTGAAGTAGGTGAACAAAATTAGTTACTTCCATATTGGTTCACTAAAGCGATCAGTTATTGATATATAACGTAAGAATTTGTGCAACGATCTAATACACAAGTACATCATTTTAAATAATGAGTGTTTTCTCCACTTTTCAATTGATTGTAAAGCAATGGCGAGATTGCGTAGTTCTTTGGGAATCAGAAAGTGCTTGTCTGCAACATTGTTCAAATTGAAGTCACCGAAATCACTTTAAGAACCTTGGACATGAAATTTTGAATGACAAATCGCGAATTTTTGGCGCTCCAGAAGTTTGTGTACCAGTATGGAGGTGACTAATTTTGTTCGGACGGGTATATTCACTTGGCTTACACAGACTGTAGCCGAACTCATAATAGTGTAAAACTAAAATAAGAAAATTGGAATAAAATTATAGCTTAACCCTAACCCGGTACACACACTACGGGAATACCGTAATAATTTGGATGGCTAATCGCGATTGCGCTACTATTTATGTTCAAAATACTTGAAATGTCCGGATGATGAGACGCGGAATTGTGATTTATACAGGCAGACAGACAGAAAGACAGACCGGCACGCAGATAGATAATGATTTATTTTCGAATATTTCCAAATTTCATCAAATTAAATTACATATTGCAGTAAGAATAAACAAACAAACAATAAACATAAAATATAATCGTAAGGGTGTGGTCAAGACTTCAAGGTCGACTGACCTGCTAATTTATTCATAATGGGAAAATCTCATATCGCCATATTGAGGCACAAAATCTACTTGATGTACCGGTCTATGACGAGTATGACGTAGTAAACGAGTTTGTGCCATTTTTCGAGATGAACGGATTTTGTCCTTAGTCCTTAGACCATTTTAAGGGTGTTAGAGAGGCGTCTTCGTGGGTAATATTTGGTAGATTTGTTGGCTGACGGGTAAATATTTGTGTTTGTTGTACATTAATGGAGTACTCTGGACGTCACGTCGACGCCCGTGCTGATTTGTTGCCTCTGAATTATACAAGTGACACTGTATTTGGTCTTTATGGAGACTTTAAAACCCTCCAGCACTCCCTTGAACACCTTAACCAGGGGATTCACCGGGTTCCCTGCGAGGGGCGCGATGAGCGTTTCGCGACCAGTTGGTTTTGCCCTTTGCCCGCTGTACGTTCAAGAGAATAGATTTTTCTACTGTGTTTATTGCAGCTTGCGGTAAAGGGGTTTATTTTTGCTCGTGGAAGGATCGCTCTTTTATGTGTACTAGACTGTAGCGGTATTCCTTTGCATACAGTCTGCTCTAGCCAGAATGGTTACTGTTCGTGCTGCTCATTTACAATTCAGAAATATTTTAGCCTATATTTGAAGTTAACCTAAACATTGAAATTACATTATGGATAACAGCAATGGTAAGTCAACCTATTTGTGTAAAGCAAGAAAACGTACAATATGAGCTTTATATGACTTTTTCTTTTGTTGTCTTAGAGTTGCAAATTCTTTCATCAGAACTGTATGAATTTTTGTGAAGAAATAATCCAGAATTTGGAAAAGAAAAGCAAGCGTTTTTTAAGAATAGAACTTATGGTACTCTCGTAGTGTGTGTACCAGGTTAGGGCTAGGTCATAATTTTATTCCAATTTTCCTTATATTAGTTCAATTACGAGTTTGTGCACTGTCCGTGTTAGTCAAGTAAATATACCCCCTGCCCATAGGTTTCAGTCCCTTTACACAACTTGATGTAAAGTAGGCGGACAAAATTAGTTACCTCCATATTAGTACACGCGCGTCTGGAGCGCCGAATTTAGCGTGAAATACTTGCTTGTCTGCGCTGTATGAAATTAACGTTTCATTACAGTTGGTTTAAGTTTTTACGCTCGACACAACATCTGAACGCTCAATACTCAAGCTTCTATTTTTAGCAAATAACATTAAATTGTAACTTTTGATATGTGCCTGAATGGATTATATACGTACGATTAGTTAAAGTTAAATTATTGTGCGAATGATGTGCGTCACAAATCGAAAGATTTTCCGTGCAGAGGCGTAGCTAGGAATTTTCAAAGAGGTGAAGGGGCTGAAATTTCTAGTTCCCAAGTTAGACCGAAACAGCTGGTGGGTCCGCAAAAGATGTATTTTTAAGAGTCTAGTCTGGTCTAAAATGCGTTTCAATCTACAGTGCAATAAGCACTTAAAAATATTCGGATTTCTTTGGGAAAACTTTGACGTTCGTTCCAAAAACTTTGGGAAAAATTAATTTTATGTTTGCTATACTACAGGGTGTTTCAAAACAAAGTATACACTTTTAATTTTGATTTGCGTCTCAGGTACTGATCATAGAGCGTTCATTTCTTCATGAAACATTCATTGTATGGATGAGTTGTATAATTTAGGTATTGTTTGCATTTTTTAACAACCCACAGATTGACCAGGAGAATAATCCAAAAAATAAGGTGCAAAATTGCTGTTTGGCAAGAAACATATAAATCAGTATGGCCTCTTTGACTGATAATTTGGAATTAATTCGTCATTGAATGTTTTTCTCAGCGCCTCCGCTCTTTGGTCTTTCTGATCTCGATCATCCAGTTCTAAACATTTTCCATGAATTACATGAATTGTTCGTCGTGTATATGAGCCGAATTAATTTCAAATTGCCAAAAAGCAATTTTTCACCAAATTTCTTGGGTTAATCTCCTTGTCATTCTGTCGGTTGTTGAAAAATGCAAACAATACCTAAATTTTACTACTTTCAAACTACTATTTTACTATATCCATACTATGTCTTCTGGAGAAATGAACGCTCTATGATGAGTACCTGAAAAGCAAATCAAATTTGAAAGTGTATACTCATTTTTGAGACACCCTGTATATTACACTACCTTGCTATACTATATTGCTAGTTGTATTCAAAGAATTCTACGATTCTAATTCCGGGCTTCCATAAACGCTAGTTTAAATCTGGTTCTGGCAGAAAAGATCGCCAAACTCTATGACGCCTATAGACTCCATGGTGAAATTACAGTTCTGTTAGATTCAAGTTAGAAGTTAGATTTGGTTTTGAGATTTTTTTTTTTTTTTCAAAAATCTAATTTTAAAAATTAATTTTTTTTTTTTCAGGTAAAGAACTCTTTCTTTGCTTCGCTACAATTCCGGATTTGAATACGATAGCAGAAGAAGCCAAGACGTTTTTCTCTGACTCTCTCGTCGCGATTATAGGAAACAGTGAAAACATTTTCGACACGGAAGCAGGTCAAAGGTGAGAGATTTGCACAAAAACTGATTAACTCTTTTTTCCTGTATTTTGCGCCGTTCATCGATTTCTCCATGTTATGCGGCCTTTCAGCACTTATGTACATTGTACAATCATCCATGGATAGATGAAAACTTTTTTTATGGAAACCGGAATCGTTACTTTCCCATATTGCCTGGGTATTTTTGAATACCTGATAATTTTAGATTCGAATCGAATATTTTAGATATACTCAGTGATTTAGCACTAACGCACCCACATTATACTACAATTCGATTTTCTCGCTCTCAAATCAATTATAAAAACCCTATCTTATTATACTACATACATTCACGTGCAGGCAAATGCGAGAAGGTGAAACATCAGCGGAAACTGGAAATCGAGACGATGGTAGAGAGGTAATTCGTTTATATATATTAAATTCTATACATTTTTATACAAAACAAGTCTATGAATATGAAAAAGCTACTCAATTTTGGGTAGGACTTAAATTTTTCCGGATTTGCCATTAAGCACTTAACTAACTTGAGCTAGCAACTGAAATAAAGAAGACCATATTAGCCGCTCATGATTATATGATTTACCTCCCAATTGCAACGAATAAGAACGTAATTACAACGGAATTATTGGCATTTAAGTGATCATAAGTAACAATGCTCTGATAAAGTTTTCTTTACTTCTGAATGAGTGCGCGTAATTTGATTTTTTTCATAAAAAAAATAATGACGACTTCATGGTAAAATGAAATACCAAAAAGGGGCGTGACTTATGATCAGACTGGTTACCAATCCAACGTAACTTCTTGATCTTATAGTTAATATTAGACAAAGAACAGCTGATGCTTTGTAAACCGAGGGACGTAAGCACATTCAGATGATACATTCTTGTACTATGGCGCCACACTTGTTTATGTGACGACAAAATCTATTTCTCGGTCTCTTCTAGGCGCAAATCGTTACTCATTTGATTTCGTACTATGTTTAAGTTTGTACGTTGAGTATCGGCCTTGCATATACCGTAAAATAATAGCAATTTTATTGTGATTTCATTTTTTGTTACTGACCCCAAAGGCAGTTTAGCGAAAGTAGTGTTATATTTAATATTTAAACTACTAGTAATTGTGCGTTTGCTCGAACATTTAATATTATTATTCACCTTTTCCTCGATCTCGAAAAAAAAACCTTCAAAAAAAAAAAAAAAGGAATTGCTGTTATAAATAGGCCTGTAGGACCACATCGTTATTAATTTATTTTTTAAATTTTATTTAGGGTTCGGCTGCAGGCACCAAGTCTACAATGTGGACATGTCTAAACAAAAAAATTCAAGAAACTTTTCAAAGTAAGATGATATCTTTTTAAATATAATTTTATGGATTAGTACAATTTTTAGCACTTCAAACGGTAAAATTATCCTAAATGAGTAGTTGCCATTTTAGTGAATCACACAATTTGTTAAAATTTTACACACCCTGTCCCCTAATATACATGTATCCCAACGAGTTCGGATTAGTTCAATAATTGAATATGTAAATATTAAGTTTCTAAAGTCTACCAAAGAATTCAAAGCATTTTTGATTCGGGATTTCACTTCGTCTGGCGCGCTATAAATAAACTAACAAGCAATGGGGTCTCTTTTCAACATTATAAGTTTCATTATTCGCTTACCGCGCCCCTTGACATGTATTCATCCCATTGGTTTAGAGTAAGTTCTGCTTTTGTTACGCCATCTTATATTTTAGAGTTCAAAAGACATTGCGAGAGTGGAAATGAAGACGAGGTTCCCTTCACGTAAGTCTTTGTTTGCTTACTTAAGTCTAGCGTACTTTGTACCATTTGTCCTGAATTGAACTCTAGGAATAAGTAAGTTGGGTGAAACCGAGCCGTTACTCCGTGTTAGGTGAAAACTGTACTTCGATTACCTCATAGGTAAAGCACGCTTTGGCATGGCCTTTTGTGCGCCGGTACTTTTGGCACCAGCCTATTTGATGCTAATTTAATTGGTCTTAAATGTACAAAATTACAGTACAGTATTTTATCTAAAAAATCAGTTTTATTTCATTTTTGATGCTCCCGAAGTATGTGCACCAAGATGGGGCACAACCTGAACATATTATGTATACCAGGTTAGGGTTCAAGTTGTGCACCATCTTTTGTACACATACTTCCGGGGCTCCTCATTTATTTATTTAATCGTAGTGCATTTATAAATGCTGTTAATTCACCTGAGCCCAATCCTCCCAAATTTACTCCCAAATTGATGTATTTTAAAATCGCTGTTCACATTCCTATGTTACGGCGTATGTAACTTAAGTGATGGCACCAAATCGAACGTCACGTCAAAACTGTAGAGGTAATCGTTAAACACAAAAGTATATTTTTATTTCACAATAGCAAATACGCCAAGCTATAGCGGTGCTGACGTAATGTTTACTTTTGTTCCGGTAAATACATAGTGTCACGGTACTTTTGCTAGGCGATGTGAGAACTCGCGATCTTAATTCAATAAAGCCTGAGGAACAACGTTGCGTGTTTATAAATATGGATTGCCATTCAATTCACATTAAAAAAACATAATTAGTCAATTATTTCGATGCCCAATTCCTGGACTGGTAATCGAACCTGAACAGGGGTTTTCAACCTTTTTCTACTCGTGGCCTATTTTTACTAGAACGGTATTATATATAACGGTGGCCCACCAAACATATGAAATGTTAATGCTGCATCATAGTGTAACTTTTCTCTTTCTTAAATCTGGGAGTACGCTTTTAAGTTGGAACTCTGTCACAAACATAACATTTTTATCATCGAATATGTTGTTCCTTACTTGATCACAATGAACTTTTGTTTCAAATCCAATATTGCCTTCATTCTGTTTTATGCCAAGCTGTGTGACCCATTGAAAATAGAGCTGTGGCCCACCACTGGGTCATGGCCCACAGGTTGAAAATCACTGAACGAGAGGTTGTGGTTCGCCATTTGATTGTTCAGCCTTTCTCTCCTTTAGGAAAAATATAAAAAAAAATTCTTATTACAATTGCACTAAAATAGTTTTTACTTCACAGGTGTTTACCGCGATTCGTTTCCGAGACCAAAAAACAACACGACAGCAAGCAAGATGATACACTGAACTGTCAGGTAGTCGCAATTTAGCTATCATTTCATATGGTATGCTCTTCTTGGCAAAGCAAATATATATATTTGAAATTTAGTAATCACATAATTAGTTTATAGCGTAGGCATTGTGCCTCCCATACCCCCTCCAAAACAAAACCCATACATTTCTTGACTACTTTTACAAAAATGAATAAAATTTATTTCACGCTTGAACTTCTGTTTGTGTATGATTGTGTCCAAAAGTAATGTAAGACGCTTTGCACAAAAGCTATGTTGTCTATGTTGTCTCTAATCTGGTTTCTGTTTTTGGAGTCACACTGTACTAACGGTTTGTGTGCACAATGACCTAAGAGCGGTGTACATTACTGTGTTGGTTTTTTACGTTAATCTCGGGTCTGACCCATATGCCCATCATGTAATGAGTCACGGCAATGCCGAACGGAAATGCTCCCTGTATCTACGTAGTAACTTCTTGCACGAATCCTTCTTCGGAGTGAATGTGTGGGAACTAGGGCTGGCCACTTTGAATCAAATATTCGAATCGGTTGAGAGCAAAATTTCGAGTCGCCGCCATCTTGTTTTTGTCAATGATTGAGGTGAATTCCCAGTTTTTTTTATTAAAGCCATATTTTTTCAACGCAATTCTGAAATAAGACTATTTTTGTAGTGAGTTATTGATAAAATGCAGTCTGCCTGAGTGATGTATTCTATGTTTTCAGTAATTTATGTATCTGTATGACTCATTACAATAAACAGTCGCAGACAATTGCATATCTCTCAAGTAGTCAAGATTCGATTCGATTCTGAAATCATCATCAGTTATTTGAAATTGCCCAGCCTTAGTGGAAACACTAAAATAAATGACTAGGAACTGGAGCCTCTCTCTTTAGACAGTCGAAGGGGTTAATTTACAAGACACAACATTATTTTTGTAGGTATCTCCCAACCATGAAACACGTGTCAAATTAGACGAGATGAAAATTGAAGAAATCAATGGAAAAGATGGCTTATTTGCTGCACCAGGTGAGATAGTGTTGAAAGTGGGGTATGTTAACCATGGGTATATGGTAATACTACAGCAAATACAAAGCAAAATTTCCCTCAAAGAACAACAAAGTTTGGGGGAAACTGGCCATATACGATTAAGCAAACGTGACTTTCTGTTGTTACAGTTGTATTATTATAATATCCCATTTCATTCTAGACGAATTCAATTCTGTTAGACGGAGGATTCATACTTTTGGAAACTCCATGTTTGGGGATCCGGAAGTTCAAAGAACTCTCGCCTCATCAGGGTTTTACAGTCTCGATGGACAATCGATACAATGTATAGGATGCAGGATTTCACATGACAAATGGGATTTGGAAAATGATCCAACGGATTCTTTATGGCATAGGTGTGAAATACTCATTATTGATTGATTTGATTAAGAGTAAATTACCGTATATCCTCGCATATAAGAGTTTAAAACTTGAAAAATCTGCTAAATTATAAGTTCGACTTATAAGCGCATAACTCTGATTGCACTAAAATTCGTCCTATATGCTCATAACTCTTATCGTACTAAAAGAGTCGATAAAACATACCAATAATCAGGTGCGCAACCAGGATTTTCAAAAGGAGGGTTTCAAAATCTAAATCGGAAATTTCCATGCAACGGCTTCTGAAGCGGTGGCCGCGAATGCATATTCGTCAAAATAGCCATTTTTCTGTCGCGTAATGTTCAAACAATGGTAACTACGAGGACATTACAATGATCGGGGACGTAGCCAGGATATACTGTAAATACGATCGATTTAAGTTAGGGTTAGGAACTGATTAATATGAGATTACACACACTTTGGTATGCGATCGACATTAGCAAGTAAGTCAGGCAAGCGAGATCGCATACCAAACGGTTTACAAATATATATTTTCAAAACATTCATAATAACTTTCTGTAAGCAACATAATTCGCTCACATTTAGAGGACCAATTTATAAAAATAATATTTTTTTTCTATTCTCAGGAGCGGGTGTCGATTTCTGTTACCAACGGCACGGAACGCTGGGCAACCAAACGGTAGGAACGTTATTCCATTGAAGCGATATTCGTTAAATAAATCAGTTTGACTTAATTTTTTGGTTCAACTTTCTCACTTGACACAGGCAATATGAGATAAGTGTACTAAAAAGGGAGAGTGGGGCACAATTTTTGAGATAGGTTTTTAACCCTTTCCGTTTACGGTGCACGTGAACTCAACCACTTCAAACCCTAATAAAGATCTAGATCTTACATGGGCAAACTTAGGCCCGCAGGCCAAATCCGACCAGTTGGGTAATTCAATCTTGCCCGCCTGATAATACCACAACCAAACTAAAACCAAATTTAGATGTTTTAGTAGTTCGTTGAGATTGCGATTAAATTTAGTTTGGCACGCGCGTGTCACACACAACCAGAGAAAAGAGTACTGAAAGGGAAAAGTGTGGCACGATTTTTAGACATAGGTTTTTAACCCTTCCCGTGTACGGTGCACATGAACTTGACCACTTCAACCCCAATGGAGCAAACTTTCCGGATCTAGATTTAATCCAATCATTGTCACTAATATTTCAATTAGAATAGGAGATAGATAACTTTAAATATATTCCAGATTGAAATAGAATAATTCCTCGTTTCGTAGGTGAGAATCACCTTGGACGTTCTTGTTCCTTCTCGACAGCTGATCTCGGAGCAGTTGGCGGAGAACAGGGTACAAGGTAAGTTACATAATATGATTTTTTCAAATTATCCTGGCGGTTAACGGCTTTATCGGGTACTCACGTAGTATGTGAACCAAGAACCGGAACGTATTATGTGTACCAGGTCAGGTTTAAGCCATGATTTTATTTCAATTTGCCTTATTTTAGTTCTATTGCGAGTTCGGGGACTAGACCAGTGACTCCCGTAGTATTTGTACTGAAATTATGGCATAACCCTAACCTGGTACACATACTACGTCCCGGTGTCCGTCATCTTGGTTCACATACTACGGGAGGACCTACCATGGGACAGACCACCATCTTCTGCCCAATCCGAGTCAATGATTTAACGTTTTCATATGCATGGTGGAGGCAACTAACAAACTGGAAGACATAAAAAAAGCCACTAGGCTTGTTTTGGACATAAAGATAACAGGGTTTCGTAAAAAAATGGACTATGTCTGTTCTGCTTCCCCGATAAATAAAATCCAACTGTTCGAGTACTCATGTTTAGTGATATTTATTTCGACTTATTTTTATCGCAAGGACCAGTCTATATACAACTCATATGGATTGATTGGGCACTTGAAACTATTCCATCGACGTTCTTTTCCCTCCCAAGTTGAAAACTGCGTCTAGTAAAATTTTAATCTAGTCCTTTTAAAGCACGTTTCATTCAAATTACTTTTATCCAATACTTCATTTATTAAGTTTTACTCAATCTTCGGGCCGTGGAATCTTTTGATGCAACATGATCTGAAAACAAACAACTTCTATAAAACTTCTTATTTTCATATTTCCAGCCATAGAGCTACCCGAGTGTTCTCTGAACCGAACCGCGTCCGTCGCTCAGCAACTTGTGGTGATTTGCCTCTTAGACAAGATGCACCCCATGAACTGGTAGGTTCAATATAAAATAATGATTTAGGAATAGAGATTCATCTCTTCCAATTTTCTTTGCTCATGCTTCGCGTTGGGATTCAAAATTTTAAGAACGGATTCTGTTTTGATTCAGAATTTTAGGAACGGGTTCTGTTTTGCTTAAAAACTTTTAGGAACGGGTTCTATTTTGATTCAAAATTTTAGGAACAGGTTTTGTTTTGATTCAAAAGTTTTAAAAACGGGTTCTGTTTTGATTCAAAATTTTGGAACGGGTTCTCTTGCTTCAAAAGTTTTGGAAACGGGTTCTCTTTTGATTAAAACGTTTAGGAACAGGTTTAGTTTAGATTTAGAAGTTTAGAAGGGTTTTCTTATGATTCAATATTTCGGGAACGGGTCCTCTTTTGATTCACGAGGTTTAGGAACGTGTTCTCTTTTTGATACAAGAAATTTAGGAACAGGTTCTCCCTTGATTCAAAAGTTTGGGGACGGGTTTGACCTGGATTTTAAAAGTTCATGAACGAGATCTATTTTGGGTCAAAATTTTAGGAACGGTTTCTGTTTTGATTCAAAAGTTTTAGGAACGGGTTCTCTTGATTCAAAACTTTTCGAAAGGGGTTCTCTTTTGGTTCAAACGGTTAGGATCGGAATTAGTCTGGATTTAAAAATTTTTGAGAAAGGGTTCTCTTTTGATTCAAAAGTTTTTGGGTTCTCTCTTGATTCAGAAGTTTAGGAACGGGTATAGTCTGGATTTGAAAGTTTAGGAACGGGTTCTCTTTTAATTCAAAGGTTTAGGAACGGGTTTAGTCTGAATTTAAAAGTTTAGCAACGGGTTCTCTTTTGGTTCAAAATTTGAGGTACAGGTTCTGTTTTGATTCAAAAGTTTTAGGAACGGGATCTCTTTTAGTTCAAAAATTTAGGAACAACGAACTCAATATCAACAGGTTCCCTTGTTTCAAAAAATGTATAAACGCCATCACATAAATTGCATTAATACAGCGCGATTACATAACTTTTGAAACGCCAAATATAATGCCAGTTGTCAGCTGCGGTGCACGTAACCCACTTTTCTGCTGATGTCTAACGTCTAAAACAAAAAAACAAGAACAGGTAACTGATTATCACAAATATGGGTTGTCGCGAACTCCCTAAATTCAACCATTGCACTTGCCCCACTTCTCATTTCCTTTCTCCGTAACCGTAATACACATAAACGCAAATGGAAGCGCAACCTGAAACGCGGGGTCTACTTTTCGAAATGGCAAATAGAACAATCGATACAAAATCGTGTTCGTTTTCACAATTTTCAACAACAAAACCAACAACGAAAAATTCGGCAAAAATAATCTTTAGGTGTCTAAATCTTTGTGTCCAAAAATGCTAAATTGTGATTCCACTGCCCTTGTCTTTTTCATCTTTTTGTTCATTTAAATTAAACAAGTTTTATCGATATCTAAACATATTTATCTAAACTTCCAAATATCTGAAAATTTATTGTATTACTTTCCAGATACTGCCACATGGAATAGAAAGAGTTACATCAGACCATTCTTTTGAACTTTTTCGGTAAGTGCAAGAGTGTAGGCCAAACTTAACCGACAATAATTTCAGTTACAAAAAAGCAAAATGCGAATTTTAATTGACTGCTATTCCGGGACCGCTGTCCGAAAATAGTATGAAAGTACGTCAGTCCCAAAGTGTTGATAACTATTTGCTTTCCATCTTAAGCTAAATCATAGGCTACCTAATTCATGTACATGTCTCACACGATAACACCAACCGCGATCAGAAAAATGGGTCACCAATTTTTTGATTTTTGCACAAAATCGAATCTAACACTCAATAGTTTTACGTTTCTGTTGTTTTTTCATTATCATGATTCCATGAATATCGTTAATTGAACTGTAGTTAATAGTATATTCAATTTGATCTTTCGGTACTCCCGAAGTATGTTAACCAAGATGGCGTACATTGAAACGTAGTATGTGTACCAGGTTAGGGTTAGGCCTTGATTTCAGGTACAAATATTATGGGAGTCGCTTGGCCCGAACTCGTAATAGAACTAAAATAAGGAAAATTGGAATAAAATTATGGCTTAACGCTGACCTGGTACACATACTACGTTTCGGTGTCCGCCATCTTGGTTCACATACTTCGGGAGTACCGATAATTTAACTATAGATAATAGTATATTCAATTTGATTTTCAGCCCTTCACCTTCCCGCCAAGAAGTATATATATACCTATATACCTATATATGTATAGGGTGTTGAAAAAGTAACGCAACACTAACGCAAAATGTTTTCTTATTGCAACGTTAAAAAAGTAACTGTTAAAAAGCGTAAGTCGTGAAATGTTTAAATGGCATTTTAGCGTAATTCAATACTGTTAAAAGGCGTCAGTCGTTGAATGTTTTAAGTAGAATTTCATCTTAACTTCTGTTAATTTTGCGTTCATTTTTCACACATAGAATAATTCATACTACAAAAGGTATGGAGTGGAAAGGTCGCTACAGGGCCATTGACGGTTCTGGAAAAACAGTATAATACATTAAAAAAGATCATTTATGTTAAACTTTTCTGATGTTTTATAACTCTTCCTATTTAAGGAAATGTGGTAACTGTGGCCAAGACCTATTGGGAGACGAAAAGGAAGTTTGTAGACAATGTCGGAAGTGGATTTGCAGCAGGCCCAATTGCCAACAACATGGACAGTGTTATATTGGCCGGGTAAGTAAAATGAGTTCCTTATTTGTCTTTATCTAAAACAAAGACTCTAGTCTAGTCATCTAATAATAACTAAAAAAGATTACTGATAGGAGTGTCGCATATTGTCAGAATAATCTTATCTTAATGTGCATATACCAGTGCTGTCAGTCTTATGGTTCATTGCTTCACTGAGTTAGTTTGTGGTCAACTGTTGGCACCAAGCTTATTTTTATAAAAGTTAAAAGTTTTATCAATTCAAGTCGCTTTTTTTCTTGGACGTTCACTACCGCGGCGCCTGCAAATTAAATACAAATTTGGTCTATTTATTGAACACAAAGTGTACATCTTTCTGTAAATTGCTGTTATTATTTGAGGTTCTTCCACATTGAGATTATGCATTTGAAACAAATAACTGGGTGTGTACCCAACATTGACTGGTAACCGGATGAGAGGCCGTTGTTCGTTGAACCACCCTTTAGGCGTTCATCCTATAATGTTAATAGGATAGTTAAATATTATAAATGCAGCGCATTTACGGCTTTTTTCATTTACATCCATTCAAATCAAGACGGGCACATTTTACTCAAAGTTGGTTTATTCATGGGATACGAATTATACATGAGATCGTTTTTCTGAATTTTTTTCCAATTGTTTTTGAGTGGCATTTCTTGTTGGTAAGAATCGCTCTGGCGGATTTGACGGTCCTCAAATTTAGTGGATTCTAGCTAGGGGGGTGCAAACTGCGGTCCACAACAAAAAAAAAATTCGAGTGATTTTAATCCCTTCTGTTGCAAAGCCTGTACCCCCGAGTCCAATATCGTCACGCTAATAACCGAATTGCGTGAGTCATTTTTAGCAGTTTTGAGAAAAACGTTAAAACTTCCTAATGATATTGCTATGCCATTGAGAGGCAATAATTTGCCATGGTTCAATTTTTTGATCGTAGTCGGATTTAAGTTAATTTATATAACGCAGTCATGTGACGTCATAATGGCGCACTGTGACTTAGACAGAAATGTGTCTATGACTCGGGGACATGCGCAATTTTGCAACTTGACTATATGCACCAGTCCTGAAAACCAAACAATTCAAAAACGAATGTAATTCTTAGTATCTACGATGTCTAATCCCCAAAGTAGATAATCTGTTTCAATTAAATTATTTTTTATGTTTAAAAATATATATTTCATCAATATAACACGATCTGCACACCCACCAAAATAAGAATAAGATAAAATATATAGAATGGAACAGCAATGTACGCTTATATAAAAGTCAACCAAGGTGAATTGGACTCAGACAGTGAATATCACAAGTGCACGCCTTCCTATACTGTAGTATAAATTCAAATTTATAAGCGCTAAGCTAGAATCTGAGATGGAAAAACTCGAAAATCCTTCGCCGAGGTTATTATGTCTTTGCGACGTCACAATAGTCCTGCGTTAACACTGATAATTCATTGTGACGAAACAATTGAACAAATTTGCATGTCATACAAAATCTTTTTTATGGGTTTCGGAATTCTTAAAATAAAATCTGAGTTAACAGACAGGTGCGCAGCGTTACATTAATACCTATTTTATAAAAAACTCAAAACCGCCAAAAATGACTTACGCAATTCGGTTATTAGCCTGACGATATGTTATCTATGCCTATGGCGAATGAAGCATGTTGCTCGGCCCGCGGTTCCACCAAGCTATTTGTATTTGGCCCTTCTGCAAAAAGGTTGCACACCCCTGAACTGCCAAGTAAAAAACATGTTGAAAAGTTACAACTACAAAATGACAAAAAATACTTGCCTTGTTTTCAGGCCTCATCGACAGAGAGAAGAAGCAATGACCGAGACCGGACGTAATGACTACTGAAGAGAAATATGTTTTAGTTAGTGTGTTTTCATGAGCGATATTACTAGGACGGACTAGGACTCGCATTCCATATATGGTCAATAATGTGACGTCATGGCGCGCCCTATGACGTCCTACTTCTTCACCGGGTCCTCGTCCTACTGAGTCCTAGTATTCAAGGCGCTTATGCGTCATTTTCCGTTATAGCGACTTTCTATGTTTCTCGCAGATGACATTTTTGTGGCCTTTCTTCGTGGGGGATCCACCTGGGTTTAAATCTGTCAGTTGTAACGTAAATCTGTTGTAAATCTGGCATTGCAAGATGCGGTATTTTCAATTATCGTTATGTATATCACCTATACGAAATGATATATAAAATGTGGTTGGGTAACTGAAATCTTGATTACACGAAAACAGGTCGCGATTTTGTGACCTTGTCCGCACCAGTGCACGCGCCCGACTGCGTCCAAGTCCGACCTAGTATGACCCAATCATGGAAACACACTTAATGTCAAATTGTCGATCGCATTCATGTGTTTGAATTTTGTATAATAACTTTTCGTATGCAAATTTGCTTTAAGCAAGATCAGGCGTGTTCACTTAGAAGAAAAAATTTTTGAGCGATGTCATCGGCGGCCACTGAAGTGCCAAGGGAACTACTGAAACGGATTTCCCATAGTATGTGCATCAAGATGGCGCACAACATGATAACGATAACTTGATACACATACTATAAACTATATTTAATTATGGCAAAACATTTTGCGTCAATACATACCAATTGATGCAAAACCTGAAGGGGTTTAAGTAAATGCGATGACGAATATTTTACTCTATTATTATGTTTTAAGCCCCTGATCCTTGCGTTCATGGTCACTAAATTACGTGTCGCATGGCATAAAAATGAAAAAGATTTAAAATTGTATATTAACATTGTGAAATATGATCGAGATAATGCCATATTGGATAATGGTTATTTCTTTAATTTAATTGTAAGATTGCCTAAAAAGCAAGCAAAAAAAATCATAATCATAAACCTGTAAATGTTGGTCTTCAAAGGTTGGGCCAGGGGTGGGCACGGTTTTTCGACCAGTGGTCAAAAATTTTGCCTCCCCCCCCCCCTGACATTTGTGTCGGATTTTTTGACTTGATGGGTGATGGATAACTAAGCTGACTCACTTCACAGTATCAAGGAGTCGTCTCGCACATATCAATCCCCACAGGACGGGAATCGACGCATAATCATAAGCTATACGGTGGCAAACGTACAACCATATACCCATGGGGCTACTTGATTATTAGGAATAGTTTTTTATTTGTTAAACCTTAAGAGTATTTTCAAATCGGTACTCCGTAGTCTGTGTACCAAGGCGAATACCCTTTTATTTTTTATTTTATTGAGTCATAAGATTATTTTACATCATGTTATGAGTGAGATTTAGTTCATTAGTATTAGCAAGCTGCTAGTACCATTTTCTTACATACCCCATTCCTTAGTTTAGTAATTTAACCATTTCCCCGGGTATCGGTTCTTTACATAATATAACCTATTGGTACATACACTTCTAGATCGCCTTCAAATCTCACCAGTTTTGACCATGACACCGGGCAAAATGTTTATGCATCCGTTGTAAATACATTCCTGTATGTGTCAAAATATTGACCTCTTTCTTACATTCCCCTTTCCTTAGTTTAATAATTTCACCATTTTCCCGGGTATCGGTTCTTTACATAACATACCATCTGGCGAAATCTTCATACATCCGGTGTAAATACATTCCTGTGTGTATCAAATATCGATAAATTTTCCAATTGTTTTATCGGACACGTGGGGATCATTTCGTTAATATTATTATGCTGTTATTCCTCTTCTTTGCGTTACTTTCTGATGTTATAAAAAAATTACTGTTGATTACTGGGCCAATTGCTTTTAAATTTTCAGTAGTTAAAGATGGAATTTTTCTCTAGAAGGGTATTACTTTTATATAATCCAAACTTTTCTATGAATCCCATGAGATTTGATATTTCATCCAAAATTTCGCTGTATTAATTTTTACTCATGGGAACACTGTACCGCATATGATTTTCGGGGATATTATGTTTTGCCCTCCATGTCCAAATATTTAATCATCGCTCTTTTTCTCAGTACTTATAAATTATATTTTTAATTTATATCTCGTTTCGAGTGTGACTGATTTTCTGGCGTTTTTTACGTTTCTAAATACAATGTATTTTATTAGGAAAGAAAGCGTAAAAGGTGTTATTTTCAAACCTTCTCTTCAGCCTTAGAATTATATGAAGTGCAAACATATTCCTACTATTGTACAGTAATAAATTGCAATTGTGCGTACACGTGGACGGCAAGTTTATTTTATTGCAGATTCAGATAGCTTCAGATATTTTATTTTTATCATGTAAGAATCAATGAAAACACAACACAAAAGTGTATAATAAAATGGAAAAAAAATGTAATTTACAAATACTGTAACAGTCTTTGAGTCAGCGACACTTGCTGGCTGATCAATTCAGACGAAAATGACCAAAGTATACTGATAATAATACAAAAGTATCACAAAAATGAAAATCACAAAATATCACTGCGGCATTTGAATTGGTTCGCTTTGGGCAAGACATGTGCAAGCAGCCGATGTTACAGCCAGTACGCTTGTACTATGCAGCTTAGCTGCGATCGATTCGGATGTTGGAAATCTCTGAATTTTTGAGCGAACGCTCTTTTTGCTGCGTTTTTTCGTGATTGTGAAATTTTTTTTATACTGCGTTTTTACGCCTCTCTCTCACCTAGACCCAGTACAAGCATCCGCATATATCAAAAACAAAATTACAATGTAGAGAATTGAAACGTGTAGAAAAGTTTTTGTGGTATCGACTAGGTCGAAAAAAAAGATTTGCGTTATCGACTATAGTTCTTGGGACAATATTCAAAAAGTCGGAGAAATTGTTTTTACATGGCATTTACACTATTACTACATGGGTTAGTAAAAGATATCTTTGAAGTTAGAAAACTAGAATTTGATTGAACGGACACTTTCTACATTGTGAGTTCTTTGTTATGGTGGATAGGCGGATAACGAGCTAATTTGCCTTAGTTAACGTGGATTTGAGAATTAGGAACATTAGATTTTTAAACTGGCACTCTTGCGCACTTTTCCATCATGACTTTGAACGTATGCATAATCAATCTTCCAAGATGCGTGCTCGGCGCAACGTGATGTCACGCATTGCGCAATTCACGAACGAAAATTTTGTTTGTAAACAAACTGCCTTGTAAACGCTTTTATTACAAGGTGAGCTACAGGAGTTGTCAACGTGCAGTTAGCTTGAGTCAGTATTCAATGTAATATAGGCGTAATATATTAACATTCAAGTAAAAATGATATGTAGGAAGAAGACTCCTTTGTCTAAATTATGGTATGCAAATGAGAAAAGCTTACGACATCCGGTATTCCCAGCCGGTCACCCCAGCAAGGTACGTAGAGTGATGTGATTATAAAATTTAAGAACGGTTTTTGGCACTCCCGAAGTATGAGTACCAGGTTAGGGTTAGGCCATAATTTTTTTCCGATTTTCCCTATTTTAGTTCTATTGCAAGTTGGGGACTGTCTGTGTTAGCCGAGTGAATATACCTCCTGCCCATAGGTTTCAGTCCCTTTACACAACTTGATGTGAAGTAGGCGAACAAAAATTAGTTACCTCCATATTGGTACACAAACTTATGGAGCGCCGGTTTTTGTTTTTTGTATCGAAATCACTAACAACAGTTTCCCTTATTTCATAAAATATATTTGTCCCCGCATAAGCCTCATTAGCACGACACACTTTATATAAATCTAATGAATTATGTATGGACGCCAAATATAACGCCGTAAGCCGCGGTGAAGCTGCTGAGTTATCCATTTGCTGCATTGGTCTGACGTCTTAAACAAAAACGGTTTGATGAACGCGCTCACGTGGATCTGTTCACCGGGTTCGCAGTGCTTAGTTATTGGACACGTCAGTGGACATAACGACCGTTTTGCATTTTATGCTGGCACTCTTCTTCTTCATGTTGTTCTTTGTCACAGAAAAAAAAAAACGCTTCTTCCATTACTGGACCAATCTCTTTAAAACTTAAGCATAGCTCTCTTCTTTGTCTTATTTTGCTAGGACGTTACAAAGCTTTTTTATTCTGCGGAATTGTACCTGCTTTGCGGCGCGTAGAAAAAGTCTAAATAGGAACTCTTTCGGGACGGAGTTCACGCACTGAAACACTGACATCCGACAGAGAAATTACAAAATGCCCACAAAACCCCCCATGTTGCACAGTAAAAATATCCTCCCATGCAGATAAATTTCTTTCACTCCTGTCGTATTGGATAAACGCATGGTACTGAGATTTAGCCAGATTGCAGGCCATGAATGATGCTACTAGGAAAAATTCCCGCCACAAAGTATCCTTCTACCATGGACATGATCAAGATGAAATATCGATCTCGAGTAAATGTTGAAAGGGAAATGCGAGTGGTTTTTTTACAATTAGGCCCAAGGTTCATTGACGTTCGCAGAAAGAAACAAGTAGGCCTACACTCATCTCATTGAATGCGTTTCCATTGATTTTCGTTTACGTTTTATTCGTTCGTTCAAATGAAAATCATCGAAAAAAAAGTTTTATTGAAGAAAAATTTCAAGACGGGGAGTCGCAACTTGAGCGTATTTTTGGGGGGCCGTCACAATACTGAGAACAAGTTGGAAAACACTGACTTAGGGTACTGAGGTTTATTTATGTGTGCCCTTCGTTAATGAGCTTGTAGGTAATTTGCCACTGTGTTACAATAATTATATCAGCGTTACCGAACCGGGGAGAAATTCCTCCGTATGCAAGAATATTATGGGAGAAAAATTTGCTTTTTATTCCGTTGGAGAATTTTTTAGTATTATTTAATTATAGGACACGAAATTGACCTATGAATCGTTTTGTTTGTTATTTGTTGTTGTTCTTTAGAAGGCTATTACTTTTATTTGTTTCAAAAATCTCTGTGGGCTCTAAGAGATTCATATTTTGTGTACGATGACGTCATCAGAATAAAAATACCGCTCATTGTGACGATTTCGACTTTTCGAAAGCAATGCAGAGGTTTAGCGAAGCCGTGAGCACTGCGGGTATAGTAGGATATTGTGAAAGACTGTATGCGCATACTACTCCGTGGTCATATATTTGAGCATCGCTGTCTTGTTCAGTAATATTATATTAGATGTTTATGCGCCGTTATAAATTATTCAAACTCTACAAAAATCAGAATGCCAGTTACATGCAATGACAACAATTCTGTTTTATATCTACCTAAGGTTTTCATATATCTTTTCTTGAATCTTTTTCAAGTCTCTTTTCGGTTTTCTTATTTGTATAAGTAATAGAGTTAAAATGAATTGGAATAAAAACCTTCATTTTGTTACTTCACAACTATATCGCTACCAATGAATATGCCATTGTGGATTGTTTGAAAAGCTAAAATGTCTCATAGCAATTTGTCACTTCTAGCTACCCAAAAATAATGCCTCGCGATTAGCCGTATTCACTGGAAGATATACCGATGTCTAACCTGGGGATTTACCTAGGGTGAACGAACGGATATTCTACGTCTAGACAGATTGCGTGCCTATGCTTCTTTTTTTTTGTAATTCCAAACATTATGCGTCGCTATGTTTTCTAAATCCGACACGGCCAAAATTCAGAAAGATCCCATCCTTTATACTTAAAAATCAAATCCCAGGGATTATGTAAAATCCTATTTTATGTCTTGTTTATAACTTTTTTCAACCAGGATTCCGCGGAACCTCAGGGTACCGATAATACAGTCCATGAGTTCCCCAAACTTCCATTTATATCCGGGTGTCTATAATATTATATGTATATTGTTAAAATATAATCAAATACTTTCTAGCTTTTACACTGTTATTTTAAACTTGGTACACTTAGAAGATCAGTTTTTTGCCAGTACTGGACAGTAATAGGTTTGCTGTTATATCTATTTATATTAGACAATAAAGGACGCTCCCGAAGTATGTGAACTAAGATTGTGGACACCGGGACGTAGTATGTGTACCAGGTTAGAGTTAGGCCATAATATCAGGTACAAATACTACGAGAGTCACCTGGCTAGTCCCCGAACTCGTAATAGAACTAAAATAAGGAAAATTGAAATAGAATTATGACCTAATCCTAACGAATACTTCAGGATTACATAATAGAGGACAAATAAGCTATTGCACAGGGGTTTCTCGGGTCTCTTAATGGTTTCATTGGGGTTCCGTTTAACTAAGGAGGCTGCAAACCACTATTTACCTGTACCTGTACCAGGTCGTAAAATAGGTGCTATCGATTTGGTTTCTGTGAGACTAACTACTTATCCTATGCTTTTGTGCCGGTGGATTCGTATGTATATATTGCAAGTAGGCTGTAGTGGAAATAACAATCTTTAGTGATTCAAGAGTCTTGCTGCACGCTGACACAAATATATTTCTGTAACGTTCCGTCTGAACAAGGTCAGACTTCCGCAGACATACATAGTTCAACTATAACAAGAATAGAAATAGCATGCACATTTATTTATACAATGGGTGTCATAGCATATAACAATATCATAATAATGGTAGTTGTAGAATCCGTAAAACTGATGATTGTATTATTAATTAACAGCTCTAAATTTAAAATTAAAAACATGAAAATTAATTTAAACAGTGTATAAAATATTCCAAAATGCTTAAACTTCTTTAATGTTCATTCCTGATGGTTCATGCGTCCAAGTAGGTGAAGGAAATACGATTCTTGAATCGCTTAGGATGTGAAATAAGTACCAAGAATTTTTCTGGTATGTTAATATTGACCAACAGACATTATTAATAATAAAATCTCTATGAAGTTAATCGGTTAAATTTTTGAGCGTATTCGCATTCCTGACTAGGCTATAACTAGCTGGGTGTTCGTTTCAAATGTATGACGTCAATAGTGGATCACTGCTGATAACTAAAGAATACACGAACCACGTGGGAATGCTAAGGGATTTGAATTTCCCGCCCAATTTTCCCGTCCAGAAACCTCCCGCTCAACTTTCCCGCCAAATATTTCTAGATCTCATAATTTATTAACTCTTATTTCCAGCAATACGATTCAACCAGGGATGGCCAATACAGAACAAATCGTTATTTCAAATATTAAGATAGCATTTGATTGCTATCTGATTGTTTCAATTTCGGGCTCTTATCTGAGGTCTTTTTCGACAACCAGGGGACAAAATAACGCTTAATAGTTAGTTATATTTGCACAAAACTTGGCAATCACATAAATTTGATGAGTTGGGAAT